TTGTTTCATATATATCATACAGACCTTAGCATCTAAAAATAAATAAATCCTTTCTAGCGCACGGTACGCACTTAAAATCTTATCCTACACTCCATATATCCCTGTTTTTACAAGAGATTAAACAATCCCTCTTAGCGAGGGAGACAGGTAATGCTTATGTCATCGCATTAGAGAAACAGTGTCTGGTGAGGCAACCTTGCCACTAAAATGAAATACACTTCTGTCGTCCAAGAAGAGAGATGGAGAAGGGAAGAGAAAAAAAAAATCAATAGGCATATTGTGATTAGAGGTCTACTTTGCAATAAAATGGCAGACAGTCCAGGATAGAAGCCGACACACACATACGCTGTACACACACTGTCTACCCCTTAGCCGGGCAAGGGCAGATGTGTGTCTCCATCCCTTCATTATGCATTGGAAGGTGCATTCCACGAACCCGATATATTATTCATTTCTGCAACATGCTGGAGCCAGCCGGAAAAAGGCAGAAAGGAGAGTGCTTTATTATTTACGAGAGAAATCTTGTGAATCTCTCTTGCTCTTAACAACCAAACAATGACAACTTCATCAATTCATTCTCCGCAGATGAAGGCCTTATTGATTTTCTATGTATTCTTTGTCATTTTCAGATTCCTTCATCTTAATTGCTCATGCATGTATTGAATAGCCGCTTCCCAAATGCACTATTAAAGGAAAGGAATTGCCAGCATTGATTTCAGGATTAAATTCCTGGTTTTGTAAGCACAATTTCATCCTCAATATCATTTTTCTATCACAACCTTTATACTATCTTTGTGCCCTGTGTGCTTTTAGGCAGTTTGGTTTCAAAGATTCTTTATCGTAAAGTATCTATTGTTACAAAGAAAGGCAAATACAAGCAGAATCGATATATGTTTTTCTAAGAACTAAGCGGTGGGTCTAATTCCTAGTACCCCTTCTTATATTTGTTTATGTTTAATATCACCCTATAAGTATTATCACCCTATATGTACTATTAATTAAGTCTATCAATTCCTTTTTATCACATTGATATGTCTACTCATATATCCACCTCCGCATGTATTATTTGATCCAACTAACTATCTATCTATCCCTTTTTCAATCTATACACAAATTATAACTATTTCTTTACCAAACTATCTTTCTAATCCTTAATCAACCTCCATGTATTTACCAACTACCAATTTATCTTGGTTTCTTCTCTCTTCCTATCTATCTTCAAGTATCTATTTATTGATATTAACCTAATAACAAATACATTTCTGTCTGCCCCTCTATGTAGTTATTCTGTCCATCTCTCTATCCATCTATCCATACCTTCTCCATTCCTTATTTTCCCAATGCATTGGCTTCATGCTGTGTCACAGCTTGGCAAGTATTTATCTATCTATATATCTATCCATCCTTCCATCTATCTATCTAGGAAAATCTATTTATCTACCTATCTTGCTATCCATCAATCCATCCTCTCACCATCTATTATTCATCCTTTCGCAATCTCTTATTTATCTATCCATTCATCAACTATCTCTCTATTTCCATATTCATACAAATTCAAGTAAACATGAATTCATGTATGGCTTTCTCAAAAGCTACTGAATTATCAAAATCCATTTATTTTATGCCATCTCTTTTTCCTTCTATCCATCTTTAAATTCCAACTAATCCTATCCATTCATTCTCTTTCGGCTTCATCAGAGAGAGAGGGGCGAGTAATCATCCCTTTCGTCCCAGCGATCCCAAATTAGGGGGACGCAGGTGTTCCCCTGGTTCAATTAATCATGCATGGCATCAATTTGTGATCTGAAACAAAGAAATTGACTCTCTTCAAGGAATGACTGGACCGGAGAGATCGAGGTCAGAATCCGTGTCTAATTTCTGGGGTTAATTTTAACTCCTGCCGGTTGCTGTTTGTTCTCTAAAGTAATACTTCAATAGATCCGGCATGTACATATATTCATTCTTAATAACACCACAGGTCATAAATATCACTGACTTTATTTGTCAGTTTGGGGCCAAAGTATATGAGTTAACACCCTTGTGAATATAAACAGGCAATATTTATGTGGTATTAGGGGGTCCATATCACTATACTATATTGAAGATAGCACCAAATATTACTTCTAATGAAGAGGTATTGCAAGTTTAATACACTCTCACAAAATAAAAAAGCAACTTTTGAGTAGACTAGCTGATGCATCCATACAGGCTCACATAGATAATCACCAATAGTTGACACTTACATATGACTTACATTTTACTGAGATGAACTGCATACTACAATATCTGGTGATTAGTAATTAAACTGCTCTAGCAAGCTCCGTTTCAATACTACATGTAATTCAAATTAAAGCAAGGAAGTAAATTCCTTTGTAGTAAATGGAACATTAGAATTAATTACGATTAATAAAGCCATGCATTGGTCATCTTTCATCAATATCTCTTAGTTATGCATGAAAAAGGATGATCAATTAAGAGGACAGTGAATAATATCAAACAGAAGTGGCTTAAATTATATCATTTTGGTGAGAATAATTAATATTGATGGGGGGGGGGGTGATTTTTCATCAGCTACCCAGGATGGATAGATAATGGAAGCACCTCCACCATTGCCATACATCATGAATGCAAATTAAGTGATTAGCCCAGTTTAACCAATTTTTAGTCAGACAATGAAACTATTCTTAAAAGTACCGGTAGAAGGGAAAAATATCAACCAAATTGAACCAACTCTCATCCAATGTCAAAAGTAGAAACATGTCACGCTATCCAGTTTGCCTCAAGTTACCAGTATATGCAGCTACATCATAAATTATGATTATTTCCCACTTTTTTTTCTCTCCAACATAGTGCCAAATTTTATATATCACCATTGCCCATTCATTCTTGGCTTAAAACTAAATATGACTCAAATAATGTTATGCTTTCTGTCAATGACTCCCCCTTCTCCCCTCCCCCTTTTCTTTCTCTTTCTCTTTCTCTCTCTCTCTCTCTTTCTCTCTCTCTCTCTCTCTCTCTCTATCTCTCCCTCCCTCCCCCCCCTCTCTCTCTCTCTCTCTCTCTCTCTCTCTCTCTCTCTCTCCCTTCTGCATCGAATCTCATGAAGTCTTGAAACAAACATGATAGATGGCATGCACTTGAACAGGATGCAGCCCATAAAACTTGCCTCCATACTCCTACAGGGAAAACTATTCCATTACAACACTATCCTTTTCCCCATTTTCAAAGACAAAAACATCTTTTCATGAAGCGCACTACTAATGTTACTACCCTATGGATTCAGGTTACAAACATACAAGCTGGGTACATTTTCTTCACCAATTTCAAATGTTGAAATCTCTTTTCTCTTCTCCAGATATTAAATCCCATTAAAAATAGTGATAATGCAACCACCGTACAAATCTCAAGTTACCGATAGATCGATGATTCTGATGGGCCATCGGAGACACGGCGAATCCCCGGTGGGTGTAATCCAGAAAAAACCCTGAGCCATCGTGGCTACTACCAATTATGTGTATCTTTCTTTTCTCATTTTGCGCAGGGTCGGTCTGTAACCCGATACTATCGAGTGCTCTGCCTGAGAGCTTGGGGGGAAAGTCGTAAGGAGAGTACATCTTGCATCCCAACCTTTTTGTATGGATTTAAGCACTTCTCATGTTGTTTTCAGATGAAAGGATTGTAGGTGTCCATTGTCTTTCCTTTATCTTTCCAAATGGCTTCTTCTACTACAATTTCTTCTTTCAGCCATTGTTTTCCTTATTATTTAAATGAAATTATTTCTCTTAGACTTTCATTGAGTAGTCTAACTTCCTCTTTACTTCCCTTCTCTTCTCTTTAGTCTTTCTAAGTCTTCCCTTTGCCATTATATCATCCACTTCATTCTTTGCTGAATTTATTCCTCCCGTTTAAGCTTACCCAATACCCCCTTCTTCATGTGTCTTTTTCTCTTTTATAGTTGCTGCTTTACCTCTCCTCTAATCTCATCTTGTCTCTAGTTTCTTCATCCCTTCCTTTACTCCCTCTCCTCCATCCCCCTTCTATCTCTCCATCCATCCAACCTTCAAAATTTTAGCATTTATACACAAAAACCTGTAAAACTGAAGCGTCAAATTAAACAAGAGCATGCATTTAAAAAGGTAAAACCAGTAAAATAACATCCACAGTTTCATGCAAGTTGGAAAATAAAGGAATCACAAAGACATTTGAAAGACGTGTGTCATTGGCAGAAATGTTTTCTTCAAAACTATAACATATGGGAAATATTCTCGATCACAAATTTACACAAGGGTCAAAGATATAATATGATATGCCATCAAGAAAGAAAACACATTAAATATCAAAACCTGTAAACCATACAGATCTAAATATTCATCACTATCTATCCATTTGGGAGTGTTCTCATAGCCCCTATATTTAGTGCACTGCTAATTAGATGATGACTGCTTATGTGTTAATATACAATTTGAGGACGTGAAGCACTGAACTACGTGTCTACTACGGCAGTGAGAAGGGCTTTTGATGACATGGGAGTATATTTGTCAGTGAGCTGAATCATGACTTGATTCAATCTTCACTCATGAGTTTCCATGTACCACTCAACAACCAGCTGTCAGACATATCAATACAGCCTTGCTGAAGGGCACAGCGGTCATTGATCTTTTCTCCTTTGGGCTTAAGGTGCGAGGGAGCGAGAACTCTGTACTTTGTGAGGTGCTTTGCATGCCTGATGAGGATACTTTGCTAAACTGACCATTTCACACTGCCATGATCTTCCAGAAGCACTAGATCAGACCCAATACAAACATCACACCATCAACCTCAAACTGTATTTATTGCTGTGCTTGTGAACAGACTCTAGGCTGGCGATGAGTTAATGAAGCAAAGAACACTCAATCTCAACAAAAGCAAGGTAATCGAGAAAGGGCTCAACAACAACAACAACAACGAGAGAACGAAAGGGAACAGACAAGCGAGCTAATCGCATCGACGAACTCACTCACCTTTCGTCCAACTCTAGTCTGTGCCTGGATTGCGCCTCCTCACCATAACCTTGGTAGCTCTCTGCAGGAGGGAACACCCTCCAGTCCTCCCCTTCCACACCCCTATGGGGGTGAGAAGCGGTGGAATGGTGGGCGTGGGGAGGGAGAGAGTGAGAATGAGAGTGGGAGAGGCCGCCGTTGCGGTGTGAGGAGGCGGCTGGGTCGGCCTCGCCCCCTCCGAGGGCCACATTGTGCGGCATTTCCACTGACCTATCAGCATGGCGCTCGGGGCTGGTCCAGTCGTGGAGGCGCTGGCTGGCAAAGTCTCGGCTGCGGCTGCTGTCCCGCTTGGAGCGGCTGGATGGATGGTGGGGGTCGCAATCGTTCTTGGTTCTCCTGCTACTGTGTGAGGATTGTTGACTGGTCATACTTGACACACTCCCTCTCCTGTCTGAAGACTGCCGCCTGTCTAGTGAACTCTCACTCGATACAAACGGCCTACAAATGTGCAAACAAACGCAAACATACTTGTAAATACAAGTCATGTAATATGACGGAAAGTGTCACTATCCCACAGTTTACTTCTTGTTGATGGTCATACTAAGTTCATACACTAGAGATATGAGGCACATCTTGAATGATATCATCTGTTGAGGGCCAGAAGCAAACAATGTTTGACTCTACTCTCCTCCAGACTACTATCTTTATCATAACATGGGCAAAGGGTATGACTGAATCAACATTCTATTGCATTTTGACTTTTCAAACAACCTCCTATCAAAACCCCTTTATCTTCTATTCCTTCACTAAGGGGGAAATTACAACTTCTTTGTTGTAATGGGTGATCTGCAAATTGACCCTCTGCTCCCCCACTTCTATCCCATACCCCAGGTTGTACAAAACTAGCTTCTGCAACAATTGCTCCACATTAATGTCCAACACTAACCAAACTCCTAACTTCAACCCTGGACATAACAGCATACCAAACCCTAATTTTAACCCTAAACCTAACCTAAATACCCAAACACTACCGTATCCCTAGCCCTGATCTTGGTAAAAAATTAATGCCTGAAGCAATTGTCCCTGGAGCATCCATTCCCTATCTTCTGAAACTGGACTTACTCTAGGGCCTCGGTGGGCTCGTCCCTCACACCCCTCAGAGCTTCTTCTCTCATCCTCCTCGGTGACTTGTTCTCTATTCTTGATCTTTTGTTCTCCGGCCTCCCAGATTTCTGAAACAAAAATACAAGATATTTATTACAAGGGATACAGAGCTTCATCATGCAAAAACAAGATATCTTTGGTTTATACCAGGAAATTAAACAATTGTGTCGGCAGAAGGATGAAAATACAACTTTTCGTATTTTGTTTCCTACAAACTCTTTTGATTCATCGTTTTACTATTAACAATTTGGACGATGTATGGACAGAAAAGTATTGTGATGATGTTTTCAAAGAGCAGCTCAAACTTAATTTTTTTTTATTTTTATCGAGGTATACATCAAATGTCCACACATTCATCTGTCCCTTCTGCCCGACATACAACAAAATAAATGCTGATGGTTTTCTAGAAACAAATCAACAAGGTCATAACAAAATTCTGGACCCTTTTTTTAGGAAGTATTCTATTTGTCTTTCATTTCATGAACATCAAAACCTTTAAAAATAATAAAGTTTCTATCAAACTGATATTCTAACAGTAGTCAGGTTAACACATTTGAAATAGCCAAGCTGGCACAACCAACCTCCTTTTCAAGTTCAGTTTGTTTCCTTTTGACAGGCTTTACGATTGCGGAGGGTTTTTCAGGCGGGTCGTTGGAGTCTTTCCGCTTCTGAGTTGAAGTTCCAGGAACGTTTTGTTCAAACTTGATCACACTAGACTTTGGCAAGTGATCAAAGAGCTCCCGCTTTAACCTGACAAACACCGACGGTTTGCCATCCTTGTCAAACTTGATTTCCGGATGGCGGTCAAGAGGACGCGACTGCTCATCAATGAAGTCTGCCCTTATCGGGGAAACAATAGGGTCCATGTGAGCAAAGTCATCAAAAGGTGGTCTCCGATGTTCATAGGTATCCAGGGGCTCTGGTTTCACAATATATTTATTATCGCCCTTTTTTACACCTGGCATGCGCTTGCCGCTGTCTGGTTCAACCTTGGTTTGCCTGACAGGGTAACTGGTGTCCAAGTTACTGGAGCTACTGCTCCCGCTACTACTCGTGCTAGTGTTGATGGCCGCCTTGGACGACGGCCGCAATGGAGTCCTTTCATCCTCGGAATCAGAGTCCGAAACAAATTGATTTGACTTGATAATTGGCTTGATATTTTTCTTCTTCTCGCTTGTCTTGGCCCTCTGTCCAGGTTTCTTCTCCTGGGATTTGCTGCTGGACTTTGCTCCAGCCCCAGGTCCAGGGGACTTTTTGTTCTGACCACTACTAGCACTTTTACTGGACTGTTTACTACTCTTAGCCTTGGTGCTCTCTTTAGAATTTGATTCAGGTTTAACTCTGGGTGAACTGCTAGTGTCTTTCGCACTGCTCGCTTTGGAGCTACTTGAGTTGTCTGTCCGTGACTGAGGGCGCTTTACAGTCGGTTTACTACTGCCCAACGGCTTCGTCGATGATTTGCTACCTCCTTTTGATTTGACAGAGCTTGGAGATGCTTTGGATTCGTGCGAGCTTTCTGAGAGTTGATGGAAATCTGTGAAGGTGGGAGGCTGGCTGTTGTTATATTTACTGAAGTTATCGTTGTCGTCCCCGCTTTCTGCGCTCTGTTCTGGGTGCTTGGACCCTTCGTTTGGATCTAGCCTGGAATTGGAGAGTGGGTTCTCTACGCTGGGTGGTCCACGGATTGGAGGAGTACTTGGTGCCATCTGGGGCATCTCTTTCTGCACCTTCCGGATCTGGTTCATCAAGCTGTATGACTTCTTCTGAAACATAAAGAGATACAGTTCATGGCGTTAAATCTGAGTAATGCATATATTGCTTTCGGTTACAAATGTACCACTTTGAGGCAGCTATCAATACAACAAATATTTATAAGCATATTCATTTCTTAAAATCTTAAACCAACTGTATCGATAGGTCAACGTCGACTGTGACTGGTGATCCATTTGCCACTATCGTTCAGGATCAACAACATTGAATATTTCCCAAACTACTATGCATCTCTGTAAAAACACATCGGTATGGTATTGCACCTTCTCTTATGAAATATATAATGGTTTTATCTGAATAGATCCTGTCAACTTAAAACTCTAGACCATAGACCAGATCAAAAGCTCCCTCAGGTACTAGTGATAACCCAAGGTTAACCCAACATTGCAGCAAATCAGGTATGTATCATGCATTCTGACTACTAAAATACAATAACAGCTTAATGCATACAGTGTTAGTTTGTCACTGGGGTCATCGCGTGATACAACTACACAAAAGGAGAAGGAAGCACTACCTTAGGAGGAGGAGGAGATGGAGGTGGAGTCTCATCAATATCACTCTCTTCGCTCTCACTCTCGCTCTCCGACGTGTTCTCCGCGTCCGACTCGCTGCCGGAGCTCTCGATGTCTGACCGCTTCATCTCAGATGATGGTCTGTAAGAGGGCGATACAAAAAAGAAAGACAAAATTAATTAGCTTTGTTAAATATTCCAAGAAAAGGTTGAATAGAAAGAGGAATGAAGTGAATTTCCATTTTGGGATGGAATCAAGGAACACTTTACCAATGTTATACGGGACCCAGAGTATTGTGGGAGGGTTTATGAACCATCTTCACAGTGATGAATAAGATGAGCCTCAAACGCACTCTAGGTTCCTCTAGCAAGTTTCAAGGAAGATGAAAGACACAGAGTCTTGTCTCCCCTGGAACATGCACTTTACAACATGACCCTGCTTGTAACATATCTTCATCATTACATGAACAAGAACAAGTTTCAAGGAGGAATGCAAGACATATAGCCTTGTCTCCACTGGTAATTGCAATAAATGACATGACCCTATTTAAGTATCTTCATCACTAGTAGTTCTCATACATGTAGGCCTACAAGTTTCAAAGGGTGCAAAATGCAAAGTCTTGTCTTCGACGGAACATATTCGTGCTTGAATGGAACATTACAACAGGTTCTCACATACATGAACATGCAATTAAACATTGAGGTCTGGGGTTTTCGTCACTCTAAAATTGTATTACACATAAATGATATATCATATATCACAAGGTGTTTATAAATCACTCAAACTAAAGTGCACTGACCTCTCCAGAACATAACACAAATGTGATTGTACTACAGGAGTACAAAGTCCTACAACAAATGAACTGCAATGCGTGACTTATGATTATGATGTTCAAAAGCTACATGTATGATGTAGGACCTTAGGAATAACGTCAGTTTCTATATCACAAGTGGGCCTATTTGTAGAGAATATCGGAAGAATTGTTCATAAAAATTACTGTAGAATTCAGATCATTCTTCGTGGAAACAAGAAAACATGCTGATTTTACTTATTTATACCTGTTTGATACTTCACCTTGTGGCGACAGACTACATGTAAATTATGGTTCAAACCTTGTCAGCTATCAAGAGCCTTTTCCATCAGCACTAAAATTAGCAGTACATGTATTTTCAATTTTATTACATTTCAAAACGTGGGTGTCATTCCTAGAAAACACCTACAAAGTCACGTAAATAATCATAAAAGTCTTTTTAGATGAAATAAATTCAAGAGGCTGTTAAAAACTTGTTGTCAATATGAGCAAGAAAAAAAGGTTCTTGACATGTTTAAAACATTCACGCTCCTTTTATACAAGTTAAAACATTACAATACAGCCCACGTGGAAGATTAATGGGGGTGGAATATGCCTCGAGTGAAAATTGATGGTTACAAAAATCTAGAACAGGAACAGACAAAGGTAGCATAAAGGGGGCGATTGATGCACAAACGTTACAGTGAACTTGATACTACATGTTGCCTGTTTGGAGCCAAAAGGGCATTGCATTTTATATGTCAAAACAAAGATGATATTGAACCATTTTGCTGTAAAACTAGGTCGAGAAACAGCAATACAGAGACAATGGCGAGACAGACAGACATACCGTACATGTATACTGAGACAGAAGACACATACGCAAACAAACAAATATATGGAAAGACACACAGACAGACGGACAGAAAGAAAGACAGACAGCAAAATATAGACTGACAGATGGACAGACAAATCAGACAATGGACAAAAAGATTACTGTGATCCAACAAAATGACTCATCAATCTCTCAGAATTTCAAAGAGCTAACAAGTTTGGGAGCTTAAGACTTTGTAAATGTTGGTATTTCAATATAAATTATAAATCAATCACAATGCTATGAAACAGCAGATGGAATAGAATTGCGCACCTCTACAAATCGCTTTGATAGAATAATAAACGATACCCTGAGGAAAATCATCCCTTGTCGATAAGCCATATTACAATGACTGATCGGTGCTTACAAGTCCTCTTTTAAGGAATCACAACAATTGATCAAATCTGAATACAACACAATAAAGAACAGAGGAAAGTCATTGACCCCTGCAATAGAGCTGGGAAATGGCAGTCTTTCTCTGAGACAGAATTTCTTCTACTAACTTCTACGAACAGATGAACACATGAATTTGTATTACACAAACTCCTCACACTTTCCTCTTTCATAAGAAGTCGCACTAGTACAACTTATGGTTCAACAACCCCTAAATCATGGTTCTTACCCCGACAACAAGGTGAGACAACTACACAGCTTTAGATTCTTGAAGGATCCTCATTAAACTTATATCCATCTCTAAGAAGACACAAGGAACAACTCTCTCACTCTCTCCTGCAGGAGCTACTGGACTGCTACCGCAAACAAACAGCAAGATCTGGCTGTGGGCATTACGCAGTCTGCACTGAGATGCACAAATCCACAATTAGGAATAAAACCTCCCACATGCAGTATTAAGCCGTCTGACAGGGGAAAGTGAGTGGGATATCAGTTGATCTTTCTGATCAAGAGACGACCATGAATATTCATGGCGTGCTCTACTCAAGACACAGTCCAAACAAGAAGCTGGAATCATGGTGACGGGTGATTTTCTGATCTCGACAATGTTTTCTTTTATTGTTGGTAAAACAATGTTAATTGACATAACAAATCAAAATTGGGACAAGTCATTGGTTTTAATATGTATGAGCAAAGCACCAATAGTAAGTGTTCAGATCCATGCATTTAGGGGGTGCTATGACAACTTACATCATTTTTCCTTACATAAAAAACTACATCGTTTCAGAATATATGGCCCATGAAAGATGATGAAATTCTTCACCATTTATTTCAATTTTATTAATGAGGTTTGCCCATAGCAGAGTTTCTATGCCCCCCCCCCCCCCCCCCCATATACTTGAATTAATAATTGACCCAAACTCTAAAAATAGGTTTGGCTGATTCCTTTAGCAGATCTATGACAGCACTGCCTGCACCCCACCACTCTGCCTTCCTTTCATCATTCATGTCAATTTCCTCCCTCTTTTCCTGTTATCAGAAGTGGGCATTAGAATCTGCAGTAAACATTCTGCTGTGTGTAAACTGTAATTGAGAATGGTGAAAAAACAAGTGGGCGAGTATCGTTTTGAAGAAAGAAAAAAATATTACGATCAAAACCTTTGAATAACTATCTCTTTAAATAGAGGTCATCTGTCTACAGTGGCTAACTATATTCCCTCAAGAAAGAATTTGGTATTGCAGAACCTGTCTAGGAGGGCCACTTGTCTACCGTGGCCACTCCCCCTACTTTTGTTGGCCTTTATAGGCAGGTTTGACTGTACATGTACTTGCAAAGTGCATGTCCATGGGCCTACTACTTGGATAACAATTCTTTAAAAGGACAAAAGATTCATGAATGACAAACTGCAGGCCTATATCATCTGATGAGAACCAGTAGGGTATTATAACTCATATACTTTAAACGCAAGGCTAACAACCTTCTGGCTTCCAACAGATGATCAAATATCAAGAAATCGCACCTGGTTAACTAACGATTAATAGGAACATCAAACAGTGGAGATGCTACTTGTAAACTGACCATAATCTTCTCAAGTTCTGTCGAGAGCCAGAACGGCATTATTACTCTATTATGATTTGAATAAACACCCTTCTGGTTCTCAGCTGAAAGAGACATCCTTGGAGAGAAACAGGGTGAATGAACAGACGACTGTGACTCGGCTTTAATCTGAATGACGGGCAGAAATTCATCAAATCACACAACAGCCACTTCATAACCATCATGTGCAGACACTCCAAGCCGGTAAAAATAACCTGCAACTCATTGGCATTAGCTTATCGAGTAATAAAGTACAATTACAGATTCCAACTGACCTTATAGTCACAAGTTAGGTTCACACGACGACCACGATGGTCCATTAACTTAAAGTTCAGGTCTTAAACCTTGAGGTTATCCTGTACTTCGATTTTAAAATCATTCATACTGCTCTACCATTAAGATTGCTTATTATGGTTATTGAAGGTGGAAAAACTAGGGTCGGGGAGGGGGGGGGGGGTCACTAATCACTGAATTTTTTCCTCTACAGCTTTCAGAAAACAGACTAAAAAATTAATAAAAACTGCTTCACAGTCATATCAAAATGTTTAATAATACTTTTATCCTTTTATTCAGTTGGTTAAACTTCCTATGATTTCAACAAGCGAGAGGTAACGAAGTCTGCGTGTATTGACAAATGACAGAATCCCTCCCCCTCCGTTGTCATACCGATACCCCACCCTCACGTCACATCGTCAGACGTGCCATTTAGAGCTCAAATTTCCTGCTCTTTCCCCTCCCATTTTGTTCTGCAAAGTGTTACATATCCTGATAGAATTTGAAGTATGCAGGTCACACACAGACACAACGACCAGTGCTTTATCCAACCAGGCCAACTTGTCTCGCACCACGAAAAAAGGCCCTTTTCCTTCGGTACATTTGTTTGCACAGGGGCTTGTGATGAAAAGCGCAAAGGTTATATACATTATGTCCTTTTCTTCCCATTTTCACTGTATTTATCTGGTACTGTGAATGGGAGGCTTGTTACTGGGATTAGGTGCACAAGGTGTGGAAAATAAAGAGAAAGAAACAAAAAAATTAAAAAAAATTAAAAGAGAGAATGAGGAAAAGGGAGAGAGGGGGAGAGGAAAAGGGAGAGAGAGAAAGAGAGGGGGAGGGATAAACAAGAGCAATATATATATATATATATATATATTTCAAAAGAGGGAAACTCATTTAAAAGACAGAGAGAAGGAAAGAGAATAAAGTATAGAAAAGAAATGACATCAATTGAAAGCAATAATATTAATCAAACAAATGGCAGAAAAGTAGCAATAAGAGCATGAATTTGGAGGACAGTCAAAAGAAATTTGTTCACAAAAGCTCTAAAAGTGTAAGCCCCTGGTTCTAGATATCGTCTGTTTGGAGCCAGAAGGGCATTATCTCATGTAGTCTGCTACAAAGTGAGCGCCCTTCTGGCACCAAACACATGACTTTTCTAGAGGGATTAATTCTGTCCAACTCATACAGTTCAAGGATGACTGGTGAGC